ACAAGTTGTTGCAGAGCAGGGACCGGGGGGGGGGGGGGGGCTCTCCAGCTGCCATTTCTCATTCTTTCTCATCTATCATGTGCTCCACCAAGAGGCCTCCAGCGGCTGGGGCCGAGGGAGGGCAGGTGGGTGCACATAATTTTTCCTGTTTTCCCAAATGTCACCAATTAGCCCCACACCGTCACCCTCCCAGCCTAAGGGAGGGATTCAGAGTAGGGACAGTTGCAGAGAAGGCCCCTCTATGAGTGATCTCCTCCGGGGGGTTCTTACCTGGACAGACTCTACCCAGGGGAACAGGGTCCCCCCAGCAGCAGTACCTCCGGGGTGCTCATCTCCCACAGCCCCCTAGTGCTGACCCCATCTCTGTGGATGACCCCTGCGTCTCCCATCACCTCTCTGCCCGCCACGGTCAGAAGGGTCTCAGCTGGAAAGTGAGGAGGAGGAAGGGGCTCTGCCCACATTAGGATAATGAAGCGACTTTCATTTGGGGAGAGAAAATGAAAAAAGGGAGAAAGAAAACTCAAACCATCCCCCGGGCCCAGCTGAGCCACCTCTGCCATAGGAACTAGCTCCGCCCCCGCGGTCTCGCCTTGCCCCGCCTGGCTCTCATCGCCTTTACAGCCTGTGGAGTACCCTTGACCTTTATTCACACACTATTTTTTAAAACTATATTTTATTGATTTTTTACAGAGAGGAAGGGAGAGGGATAGAGAGTTAGAAACATCGAAACATCGATCAGCTGCCTCCTGCACACTCCCTACTGGGTATGTGCCTGCAATCAAGGTACATGCCCTTGGCCGGAATTGAACCTGGGACCCTTGGGTCCGCAGGCCCACGCTCTATCCACTGAGCCAAACCGGTCAGGGCATATTCACACACTCTTTACACTGCTTCTTCGGGAGAACCCCAGAGTTTCCTGACTCCAGTTCCCCGAGCTCTTCTCTCCCCACAAGGAGGACCCAGAGGTGGACTTCTGCTCACTGAGCCCCTTGGGGCCAGGCTCTGGGTCAAAGACAAAGGCAGGTGGGAGAAGGTGTCCAGAGGAAAGAGGAAGTGAAGACCACTCAGAAAAGGCACTGGATCTAGCAGCAGTCACAACTACCTCCACCTCCCCACCTTTTCTCCTCTCCACCCGCCACCTCCCTGACTTCCCAACACCTTGGGAGGAATATCCAAGCCCAGAGTAGAAAGGAGATCGGCCGGAGGTCATCTTACTTTACCGGTGAGGACACTGAGGCCAAGTCAGGAAAGGACTGTGCCGCCCACACGGGTCAGTGCCAAGCGGGGCTGGACCAGGCTCTGCTGACCTCCAGACTCCTGCTTTTCCTTCTTATTCTACTTACCGAGATCTGCTCTCTCTCTCTCTCTCTCTCTCTCTCTCTCTCTCTCTCTCTCTCCTTCTCTTCCCATTTTCCTCCCCTACGTACCTCGAGGAAGAAAGGGAGTGGGGAACCAGGGTGAGGTCAGAGGACAGAGATCTGGGATCGGAGAAACTCGACAGGGTGGGGTATGAGGTGAGCCAGGGGACACAGAACAAGGGGTGGAAGCACGGAGATGGACAAAGAGAGCTGGTCCCCAAGCCATCTGGGAGTTTATGCCTCTGCCCCCAGCCCCTTTGCCCCAGTCCCACCGCTCCTCTCGGGCACTCCTCAGCAGTCACTTCCGTTTTTTCTTCTCCTTTGCGAGCCTGGTTTCCTCAGCCTCCAGGTCCTTGTTAAATTCTATCTTCTTCATGCCCAGTGGTATCTTGAAGTACCAGACCTGAGTCATATGGGGAGGAGGAGGAGGGGGAAGGGGAGGGTAAGTGCACTGCATCTGGCCCTCGGTCCTGCCTCCTGACCTCATCCCTCTGCCGCTCGGTGAGCACCAGTCGGATGGCTTGGAGAATGTGACCAGGTGTGTAGCCATCGGACTCCTTGGCCAGGGCACTGATGTCCAGGTGACCCAGAGCCACCTGGACTCGGTGTGCAGCATGTGTTTCCAGAGCTGTGTCTGCAGTAGTTTTTTCTCCTCCCCCAGAACCCCCCATCCCTCTGCCCGGCATCCTGCTAGAGCCATAGTTTCTTTTAGTTCCACCAGATGCTTCAGGCCACAGTGTCAGACCCTGTGGCCCTCTCTCCTGTGCTCCCATAGCCACCTCACCACCCTGGGAGGTGCCACCGACTCAGAGGTAGGGAAGTAAGGGGCAGCTGGTGCCAGAAACAACGAAGGGATCCTAAGACACAGGTGGCACTTTCAGGCTCCCACTCTTGAGGAAACCAGGTGAGCCAGGCCTGCCCACAAGTCCTTCCCTGTGACTTCTAGTTCCCTCACAGGCTGAACTCCATGGGGCAGCAGAGAGAGGAGCCCAAGGCGTGCTGCACGCCGGGGGTTTAGAGAGCTGCCTCGCTCTGGTGCTAGCCCACAATCCTCCCCGCTGGCTGCCCCCCTACCCACCAAGCCTCACCTTGAGGGATGCCTCCTCCTCCCTGTACACTGGCTCCAGCTTCGCCAGATGAGCTAGGAACTCTGAGGCCATCAGGGGCCGCCTGGACAATTGGAGGAGCCGCCGCTCGGTGAGCACCAGTCGGATGGCTTGGAGAATGTGACCAGGTGTGTAGCCATCGGACACCCTGGCCAGGGCACTGATGTCCAGGTGGGTCTGGGTCACTTGGATTTTCTCCATGTGCAGCATGTGCTTCCAGAGCACTGCGGGCGTGGGGGAGGAAACGGGGCCCAGAGGCCGTGAGCCTCTCCTCCCAGGACGGTGGGGATCATCCCCACTCCACACAGGAAAATGAGACGGGAGGACTTAAGCAGCCGGCCCTTGTCCACAGAACCGGGCCAGGACCCAGGCCACTGGGCTGCTTGTATCGCAACCGGCCCTTCCAGAGCACTTGGCTGTGGAGGTGCTGCTCAGAGCAACAGTGGGGGATGGGAATATGAGTGGGGAGCTTTGGCAGGAACCACATTCCCAGGCCTCACCATAGCGAGAAGCGTAATCGGGCCGCGGCATGAAGAGAATCCGTTCGTAGGTCCGGCGCAGCCCCTTCATCTCGGCGAGCTGCGGTTGGTTAGTGGTCCCTATCAGCATGACGCGGTCTCCGGGATTCAGCAGGCGCAGGGCCTTGGTGAGGTCCTTCTTTATTCGCTTTGGGTCCATCTGCTCGGGGGAGAAGGGGTGGAGTGGGACACGGTGACTCATTATGTGGGCTTCCAAGTACTCAGGGCACCTGTCCACACGCACAGGGACCCTGAGAGGCAGACGGGAGCAGCTGTCAGTCCTGCTTTAAGGAGAAGGAGATATGGCAGAAAGGAGAACAGAGAACTTTGTCCCAAAGTCACGCCGTGAGTGTCACTTGGAGTGAGCTTACAAGAGCTCAGGCTGCCTGCCCCTGCTCCCTTACCTCCTTCTCCTCTTTTGGGACCTTCTTATAGAAATTCTTCTCGGCATTTCCAATCCAGATCACTGAGGGCTGTAGGAGTCGAGCCACCTGGACAGGTCAGAGAATAGAAACCTGACAATAGCCATTCCTTGGCGAGGCTCACCTCCCCATCTGGCCCAACCCAGGGTCAGGGCCGGCCTAGGGCAATGGTGGCCAGGTTCCACTTCCCACATACTGTCGACCCCACCTGCCAGCCCTTTGCAACCATCACCCTTCAGTGTGAGCAGAGTCCTTGCCCGCCCTGGGGATTGGGGGTGGCTACATCCTACGCCTCATCTCTCCTCCCCACTTCGCCCCACCTCCCCCATTATGGGGCTTCAGGTGTCCACAATCTCCTAGCAGAGCTTGGTAAAGACCTCACCAGCTCCTGAACTCACACCAACTAGGCAGATGGGTGGCCTCCTGAGCATAGAGCCCACCCTGCTCTGTTGTCACAGCCTGAGAACTAGAAATGCCGAACCTTAAAGACAATGTGCACTAGCATCTGCACCCCGGCCTTGCCAGGGTATTTGCCCTGCAGGTTGGCAGGTGACAGGTCGAACAGGTTGGCACCAGTTTCTGTGCATACGGCATTGACCAGCATCTTCTTCCCCACGCCGGAGGGGCCCACCAGGAGGATGGAGCGGATGAGGGGAGCCATGGAGTGTATATCAGGGGAGCCTGAGAGAGAAAACAGAAGCCAGAGACAGACAGTGGGCCGTCAGGGACCGGGATGGGGCATGGTGTAAGGCGAGGTCCAAGGCCTGGGGCTGAGTGGGATGAGGTTCACATCTTGGCGGCACTGCCTCCTCCCATGGCCTGAGCAGTCCCCCAGGCAAACATGCCAAGAGCGGCAGCTTACAAGCCTCCCAATGGCTCAGGAATCACAATGACTACAGGTGGGTGTCAGGAGGGAGCCCTCTGCCCCGTCCAATGTCCTTTCCGTTTCCCATGCCACCTGTTTCCACCCCTGCAGTAAGAAGGGGTCCAACTAAAAGGTGTGGGATATCAACCTCTTTAGAAAGACACCAACCTTCTAGAAATGGGGCAGACTATGGGATGCCACTTGGAGTTGAGTAAGAGGCTAGAAGTGTGGTCTCCTCAGCAGGTCAAGAGCCCACATGACTTCTGGGGTGGCCCAGGCTGGAGGAACCCACTGTAGGTCCCCGGCCCGGGGCACTGGAGGCTGTGACTGGACGTGCCTGCCTCAACCACCCTCCTTCCCTCCCCAAGGCTTCCCTCCACTCGGGCCTCTCACCAAGCCGAAGGACCCCGTACAAGGCCATGTTCTGTCGAACGTCAAACAGGGAAGGCATGGGCAACTTGTGAGCCAGACTCAGAGTGGATCCAAGATAGAGGCAGTCACCTGGGGGACAGGTGGCCACCTGGTGAGTGGCATCTACTTGGGCAGGGCCAAGAGAGAGAGAGCCACTGGAGGAGAAGGTTCACTTCAGAGGGTGGTTGTTAGCCACCAGGAAGGCCATGGCCTGGGAGCCTTGGGCACCATTCCTTAGCCTGGGAGCAGGTGCGGGGGAGGGGTCTCACCGACGAAGTCCTTCAATAACACTGCCTTGCACTTCTTTAGAAGGCCAAAGACAACAAGCTCTTCAAACAGAGAAGCCAGGGACCTGGCAGAGGATGGCACAGGGCCTCCCCCCGAGAAGGAAGGGACATGGAGAAAGAGATGAGTGGGGTGTTGTCACAGGCATGAGGAGAGAGGCTAAGAGGCCCTTCTGCCCCACATGCTGTGGTCAACACCAATAGTGCCACTGGGCAGCCAGTGTCAGAAGGTGGGGCACCAACCCGTGGGCCCAGAAGGCAGTCTGCCCATACACAGCAGTGCTCTGTGGGTTGGGGGGTGTAAGAAGGACCAGCATCCTGTAACACTCCCTCCACCAGTCTGCTCACGGCCCAAAGTTCCACCAACAGAACCCAGTCGACCCCTCTTCCTAGAAACCACATTTAAGGTGAACATGGTCTGGGAGGGGTGATCATCAAAGCAGCTAACGTCATTGTGCTCATGACTCACTTCAAGAGAGAAGTGAGTAGAAAGGGACAGCTGACTTCAAGGCCCCAGAGTGGGAAGTCCATGGGGAGATGGCTTTGTAGGGACAGAGCTGATGAAGGCCAAGGCTAGAGGGAACGTTGATAACAATACGCCACTCATATCTTATTCTATATCATCATTTCAAATAACTTTCTTATGCTTCTGTTTGTTCCTCACAGCTATCTTTTGGGTTTGGCAGGAGAAGTGCTTGGTTAATAGGGAGTCAGAGAGGTTAAATGACTTTCCCGAGGTCACACAGCAACAGAACCAGGGCCAGCAGTTGGATCTATGGAGGGTCTGCTACCTGTTCGGGGTCAGATCTTTTTCCTTCTTCTTCTTCCCAGCTTTCTTTTTCACATTTTTTTTCTGGATAGAAACAAGCACATAGGAAGTTATCCTGTGTTCCTTGCCTCCCCTGTTGTGCCCTCCCTCTCCTGTCCCAGCCGGGCCTCTCATCTTGCCTTCGGAGCCTTGAAGGGTCTCTCCTCCTCCCGGTCCACAGCCAGGCGCAGGTTCTTCAGCTCTTGACGCATCAGCTCGTCCACCTGCAGAGACAGAAGAGTGTGTGGAGGGGTGACCAGGGGCTGGGGAGGACAGACAGGAGAGGTAGGGATGGAGGCAGGGGTGGAGAGGAAGACAGCAGCCTCAGAGCAGAGCCAGACAAGCACAGTGAAGGTAGCAGTGGCCAATAACCTTCCTATGTCTTCTTTCAGAACCCTTGGCCTTGGCATTTGTCCCTATCCCTGCACCTGTCCACCCTCAATCCTAATCCATATTCTGCTCACGCATGAACCCTGCTCTCAACTGGCTATCAATGTGGAGAGAAGCCCCGGGATGGAGTGGGTCAGCTTTCAGCTGCAGCCCTAGACCCACCCTTTAGGGTCTGTGTGAACTTGAGGAGTTGTATGACCGCTCAGCCTCAGTTTTTTTATAAGTAGCATCAGGAAAATCATGGTGCTTACCTCAGGGGCAATTGTGATCATGTGATCTAATGCTCCCAAAGACACATCGTAAGAGCTCTTTAAGCGTTGGTGAAGATGATGGTGGGTGTGACCCCGGCACAGA